CAGGCCTTCCCCCAATCCTTACCCACAGACACTCCACTCCATCATTCCCAACCCCAAGCTCTTCTGCATCAAAACAGTCTTTAATATAAAGGGCCACACCACCACCCTTCTTTCCTCGTCTATCCCTTCTGAAGAGCTTGTAACCATCTATCTCAGCACTCCAGTCATGGGAGTGGTCCCACCATGTTTCGGAAATAGCAACAAGGTCATAATTAGCCTGACTCCAATCATTTCCAACTCTTCCTGCTTGTTGCTCATGCTGCATGCATTGGTACAGACACATTTCAGACTAGTCGTCTGCCTCATCCCCTGCTCGAGCATCTTTCCCCTAGGCTCATCTCTTGAGAGGCCTGTTTTGTCCCCTTCCCCCTTCATAGCTAGTTTAAAGCTCTTTCAATAAGCCCTGCTAGTTCCTGTGCCAGTATTCGCTGCCCCCTTTGAGATAGGTGGGTTCCACAGGCAGACAGCAGGCCAGGGGCCGAGTAAACTGCCCCATGATCAAAGAACCCAAAGTTTCTGGCTCAACACCAGCCTCCTAGCCTATTATTCATCGCTTGTGCCTTTCTATCCCGCTCAGAGTCCCTCATTGGCCCTGAAGGTATAGAGCAGAAGATCACTTGAGCTCCCGCTCCATGGACTAAACGCCCTAAATCCCTGAAATCTTTTTTCATCGTGCATAGGCTTGTCTGAGTGATTTCATCACTACCCACCTGAACTACAAGTAGCGGGAAACAGTCAGTTGACCTGACCAGCTTTGGGAGTTGCCTGGTTACATCCCTGACCCGAGCTCCAGGAAGGCAGCACACTTCCCGACGGACCGGGTCAGGTCTGCATACGGGACCCTCCGTTCCTCTGAGGAGGGAGTCACCCACCACAACCACCTTTCTGTCTTTACTATTAGAGGCAGTCTCAAGGCGTGGGGGTGACCTCCTTGCCCTGGGCTCTCTCCTAGGCTGATCCTGCAGCACCTCTCCAGTCACTTCCTCTTCAACTTCCAGCATCTGGAACCTGTTACTTAGAGGGAGTTGTGGAGGCGGGCTGGGCAGGCGAGGGTGTCTCCTGTGACACCGAGTTGGGACTCTTTTCCAGCCTTCTTCACCAGTGAGGTCTGCCTGACTATGAGAGGGCAGGGGGACCACCATCTGTCTGGGGTTTTTCTCCCGGAGCCCTTCCCTCTGGTAAGCCAGTGAGTTGCTCCACCAGTCGATCTCCTGCTCACGCTCCCTGATGGTCCTAAGCCTCTGCACCTCATCCTTGAGCTCCACCACCAGGTGGAGCAGCTCCTCTACCTGCTCACACCGCGCACAGGTGAAGTCCCTGCCAGGCTCCCTGGGCAGAAGTAGGCTCAGGCACTCCCTGCAGCCAGAGGCCTGAACAGCAACATCTCTTACCAAGGTTTCAGTCTGAGTTGCAACTGTCTTCTTGGAATGAGACCGCTGTCCAGTGCAGACCATGTTTCAGCCTGTGGTCTCAGAGGCTGTCAATGAAATCTGATCTCCTGAGCAAGAAGGTACCTCCCCTTTCCCAATGAACAGGGATGACGGTTTCTCACCTGATGTGACTCGTGGGGGGAAGCTAGCTTCCACCCTCTCAGGAGCTATTTAAAGCTTGTTATTAGGTGTGAGGGCGTGGGCAGGTGTTTAAACCATGCCGCTAATGTGCCAGCTCCACCCCGGTGACTCAGGAGCCCGCCCACAAGCTGCCAGCTCCCAGCTCAAGCCCAGGGCAGATGCTAGCCTCAAAAAAACTCCTAAAAAAGCCTCTAAAAAGCCTTAAAAAGAGCTTTTTCATTGGCCGTTTCTTATTCCGATCCCTTCTCCGCACAGACCTACCTGCTTAGAAGCAAGTCTCCGCAGCAAATAATGTTGATGTGGTTTACCTTGACTTCAGCAAAGCCTTTGACACTGCCTCCCATAGCACTCTCTTCTCTTCTGTAACTAGAAATTGGACTAGAGGAAATGGCCTCAAATTGCACCAGGGGAGATTTAGGTTGGAAGCACTACTGTAAATCAAACAGGCAATAGCAGAGCCTTTATTTAAGATACAGATGCTGTAGAACAAGATATTAAAGAAGAATTAATTTATCCATCCCAGCAATAGTTTGGAAAAAGGGGGAGCTGAGGAATGCAGCCTTCTCTGATTGTAACACTGGTGCTGAAAGCAGGAAAAGGGGGGAACCCACACACAGACACTGACTGCAAACACATATGCATAATCAATGAATATTAAGATGCTATAATTACAAAATAAGCAAGAGAATTTGGCAAAGTAGATAACGACAACGAAATGAGAATAAATAGAAAGCTTATGCCTACACTGGACTCACTTACAAAACTCCAGAAGAGACCCTTCCCCAGTCGTAGCCAGCTCTTAAATGAGTCTAGGAGAGGTGGAGCCAGGCTCCACCCCTTCCGGCAGCACAGGTGAAGGCAATTCACCTGTGCTCCTCTGGCTGACTCATTGCTTGCCTCAGGTGATCAATCAGAGGTTCAGGCCATGACTTAGCAGTTCCCATATGCATGTACCTGGAAGCACTGCTGAGATGGGGAGAGAGGAAGAGTGGATCTAGGTTCCCCCTGCTCCAGACACTTGTGTGCTCATGTACTGGTTCAGGCTGTGACCCAGGAATTCTACTGCAACTACTTTTCCAAAAGAGCGGCCAGGTGCTGGAATGGCCTGTCTAGGGAGGTGGTGATGTCATCAACTCTGGAGGTGTTCAAGTAATGTTTAGACATTCTGTTGAGGGATGAGGTTTGAGAGAACTGTTAGTGATAGGTGGATGGTTAGACGGGATAATCTTGGAGGTCTTTTCCAACCTCAGTGATTCTATGAATTCTATGTTTTGAAACAGAAAACAGCAGCAACAAGCTAAGGGAGAAAACTAATTTATTGAATATGATACTGGAATGTGAGATAATATAATAAAATAGAATTGGAACTGAAGCTAATAAATCAAATAAAATGAGAGAGAAAGCAGCCAAAACTGAAGGCCTTACTGAAGGTGAGATGACTAGGGAGCACACACAGTCAAGACAAGCTTTTCTGCAAAAAGGAGCATCTTGTGACTCACAAGGAGTTTTATCTTTTCCTTTGAATGCAAAAGGGAAATGGAATAGTGAATTCTTCTGGAATTTGTAGCTCTCTTCTGAGAACCAGGTACTTGCAACTATCAATGATCCATGGAACTGGAGCATTAACTCATTAACTTCCAATGTACTACGTGATGCTATGATGTGGAATACCAATAACAAAAATCATAAAACCATGACAGTAATTGTTGATTAACCAGTGCAGTCCACTTACTCCAAGTGGCATCAGTAGCATGATGGGTGGAGGGAACCTTACCTTTAAACATCCAGTTCAGCACTGGCAGTCGAGGTGCCAGAAGGAGCTGTGTTTCAGTGCCAATTACTTCAGAAGCAGAACTCTCATATGCGGCTAAGATCTCCATTTCAGTTGGAGTGTAGCCCTCTTCCAACCCCCTGTATGCTCTACTCCAAAATCCCAGGGATCGGCCTTGGGTCTCTCCTGAGGCTCTTTGCCACAGATTCCAAGTGGGACCTTTCTCTCTAGCAGCAGTGTAGAGGATGTTAGTTACATCCTGTCCCATCCGTACTGGCCCTAGGGCCACAGCACTGGCTATCTATTTAATCTGTTCAACAGCCTGCTGTTCAGTCACCTGATAGAGGGGGCTAACTATGAGGCTGTAGTTTGGGACGTACATCCTCCAAAAGCCCACTACATCCAGAAAAGACTGTCTCTCTTGCTAGTGGGTGGAGACATAGTGGTGATTTTGTCAATCACATCTCCTGGGATGTGACAACACCTATCTTGCCATTTTACTCCTAGGAAATGAATCTCCTGGGCAGGTACCTTCACTTTGTTTTGCTTAATAGCAAAACCACCACGCAAAAAAAATTGAATTATTTGCTCTCCTTTTGTAAAGACTTCTGCTGTATTGCCCCACACAATGATGACAGCAATGTACTGCAGGTGCTCAGGAGCACTGCCCTGTTCCAATACAGTTTGGATCAGCCCATGGCAAAAAGTCGGGCTGTTTCCACCCCTGGGGCAAACGGTTTCATGTGTACTGAACACCCCTCCAAGTAAAAGCAAACTGTGGCCTGCATTCTGTGGCTAAAGGAATGGAGAAGAATGCATTGGCAATATCAGTAGTGGCGTAGCATTTGGGTGCTTTTGACTCCAGTTCATACTGGAGTTCTAACATATCTGGCACAGCAGCACTCAGTGGGGGTGTGACTTCATTCAGGCCACGGTAGTCCACCGTCAGCCTCCATTCTCCACTGGCTTTACACACTGGCCATATGGGGCTGTTAAAAGGCGAGTGAGTTTTGCTGATCCCTCCCTGACTCAACTAGAAGTTGACAAATCAGCTTATGAATGGGGAGCAAGGAATCCCTGTTGGTGAGGTACTGACGCCTGTGCACCGTTTTTGTAGCAATCGGTACGTGTTGCTCTCTTACTCATAGCAACCCCACAACAGATGGATCTTCTGACAGGCCAGGCAAAACAGACAGCTGCTTAATGTTGTCTACGTCTACAGCAGCTATTCCAAAGGCCCATCGGTATCCATTGGGATCCTTGAAATGCACCCTTCTAAGATAATCTATACCAAGCATGCATGGAACCTCCTGTCCAGTTACTATAGGATGCTTATGCTAGTTTTTTCCAGTGAGGTTGATTTCCACCTCCAACACAGACAATTCCCAAGAGCCCCCAGTCACTCTGGAAATATAATTCAGTTCTGTCCCTTTATAACTCTAGGGCATCAGAGTGCACTGGGCACCGGTGTCCACCAGTGCCTTATATTCCTGTGTATCTGATGTGCCAGGCCATCGAATCCACACAGTCCAATACACTCTATTATCCCTTTCCTGCCCCTGGCTGAAGGCAAGGCCCCTCTATTTGTTACCTGCAGTAACGGGAGCAACTTCAGTGGTGATTGATCTGCTTTGTAATTCTCTCACTTGTGCTCGCAGTGCAGGAATGGGTGTGTCGTGCCACTTCTTCATATCCTCTCCATGGTCACGTAAGTAGTTCCACAGGGCAATGCAAGATATAAATTTACTGTGGTCCTTTGCTCGAGTAGGGGGGCATCTGTGTTTGATAGCTGAGACTTTAATCAGTTCAACCAGCTGCTTCAGCAGGTTCCTTTGATCATCCTGGTCTTCATTGGGTGTTTCTGATACTGCCACAGGTTCATCACGATTGATCACTAGGGACAATTCCTCCTGCATGCCATCCTGGCTCTTCTCCATTCTATCTGCTCTTTCTGCCATTTGGCAGATGGCTGATTTGGAAGCATGGGATGGTTGTAATATTTGTTCCTATCTTTGAAGTGCAAGAATCAGTTCAAAAATTGGGGGTCTTCTGCCTAAGTCTTCATATCTATTGGTCGTTTCAAACAATGAACTGGCTTACCTTTCCGGTGCTGTTCTCGTGAGCTTCTGCCATATTTCAGGTGTACTTGCCGCTCTCTCGGGATCATGGTCCTGTTGTGAATCGTTAAAAACAAACTCAGGATCATACAGCATTTCCACTATGGCTGTTTCTCTCAAATATTGGATGCCTTTCTCAACAGCATTCCAGCTTTTCATCTCAGGCTCCAGCTCAACTCTGAAGGGATATCTTTCCTTCACAGCTAATAACATTCATTCCCAGAGGGTGGTGACTCTGTCCAGACATCTACTAATGCTTATGTCAATAGCTGAGTCTTGGGCAATGTATCCTAGCTGGTGGGCTTCATTACTATTTAGGGACACGCTACCAGCCCCGTTGTCCCAACACCAAAACAACCAGGAGACAACAGTCTCACTCAGGTGTCGCGTAAACTCCTTTTTTATGCCTTGGATTTCAGTCATTTTCAGGAATCAACAAATAGTGCTAACAGTGATTCCCTCCTCATCACTCTCCTCTCTATGTCTCTTACTTTTCTCGGTTGCCTTTCTTGGTGGTGGTGGTTCTGAGGAGGGCCCCTTACCTGGATCTTCCTCTATTTCCTCCGCTTCTTCTTCTTTCCAATCTAAACATGTGGACACCCGTTTCCATTTCTGGCCTTCCACAGGGGTAACTGACTGATACTGGTCCCTCCTGCGATTGATCAAGATTGACTTTGAGGTTTCCCCTTTTAGTTCGGATCTTGGTTTGGAAACTCTCCCTCCAGAATAGAATCATAGAATCATAGAATCATAGAATCATAGAATCATAGAAT